ATCAATTACAGTAGAAAATGTAAAAACTTATAAAGTTTAATTAGAGTAAAATAAAATATATCAAATGCAGGTATAATCTGCGCAGTAAAATAAACTACGCATCCAGTTCAAGTTGATTTGTACGGTACATTTCATCACTGCAGTTTGTTCCTTTACATTTTTCCATACAGTTACTGTATTGAACAGTTTAATGTGTTACTGTAAATATTACTGTACATGTACAATAAATTTTAAATTTTAGTGGATAATTTTTTGATAATTTTTGTAGCCTACGATGTCACACAAGAAGTTGGTTGCTACTAAAAAGAGGGAAAAATATAAAAACATATTCATGCAAATGCAGAAGGTGATCATTCAGAAGCACGAAGAAGGTATCCGTGCTTCTGACCTTGCTAATCTATACAGACAGTTCAGCATCAGCAATTCGTTCTTAAAGAACATGATAGAAATATAAAAAAAAAGAAGCTTGATATAGCCAAGGAAGTTATCATAATCACCAAGCATTATTCAGAAGCCCTAGAAGATGTTGAGAAGCTGGTGTTGGTGCGTATGAAGGAGATGAATGAGATAAAGCTGACTTGTTTCAGAGGTGTTTTGAAGTGACCGAAAATACAAACCTGACTCTAAGAGAATTTTGGAAGGATCACTTCAATATCCTAAATGCTTAAAACTCATTGATAAAACATCGGAAGGAGTCAAAGTGAATTATTTATTTACATTATTTGTGCATAATCTTTAAAAAAAAGTACTTTAATTTTGCATAAAATATGAATTTTATTGATTTTTATATCAATATTTAAGGTTTAGAACGAATTAATTTAATTTCTGTTATTTTAAATGGGGAAAATTGTTTCGACATACAAAATTTCCAGTTACCAATTCACTCTTAGAAAAGTTTAAATTCGTATTCTTCTCTTCTGTGGTAGCCTCGAAAAGTTCTTTTCTCAGGCCGACACCCTCTTACCAGAATCTGATCAAACATCGGATATATTTTTTTAAATCCCCGCTAAGACCAATCTTGTATGTAGACAAAACCGAATGCAACCTTAATAGGCTATCATGGCCTAATTGATAAGGCACTTTTGACTTAAAAGTGATTTTCCTAATGGAAAAGGTCATACATGTTCGATCGATTACTATTGAGGAACGCAATTTTCTTTAGTCGTACTTTTCGAATTTTATACGATTAAATATTATTTTCATAAAAAAAATACAGGAATGTCTAAATCCCAAATTACTTCACATGAGTACAGAACTATATCAACCAACACGAAGTAAGTTATTCTTATTCTGAACACAATCCATACACCGGAGTTGAATAAGACTAACGTACTTCGCGTTGGTTGATATAGATCTAGATTAATTGCTTCTATAAATAAAATATACAGGGTGTCCCACAACCGCCCCACAAGAAAATTTGGCACAAAAAAGTAATATTTCTATTCTAAATATTTCAAGAACTTGTCAGAATTTTTTTTTATCGCAGTGCTCAGGTCGTTTTACATTTTTACATTCTACCATCATTAGTAAGCAACTTGGATTATCTGAAAAAAAGTTTCTTTCGATGAGGCCGGAATGTAGCAATGAGAAAAAGCAAACAAAACATAATGACAAATAAACTTTTCAAAAATTTGTAATGATGCTTCATTTAAGAGATTTAAAACTACAGGGTGTACCACAAAAAACTCAGGAAATTTGGTACAGTTTATTTAGTTGTTGGAATTTTTGTTACAGTCATTTGAAACAAAAGCAAAGGATAGAAATTTAGTAGATTAAAACAGAACAAAAACACAAATGTTAGTTGTGGTGTTCAAACTAAAGAACTCTGGCAAAATTTCTTCGAACTTTTTCAGTCCCCAAGTTGAATGTTCTTTTTTAAAGAGAACAATCACCTCGCTTTGAAAATTTGATAACTGCGGCATCCTAGAACAACAAATGGTTAAAAATTTATGTTAGTTAATTTTTTAGTTCAACCTATAGTAAAATATATAGTTAATTTCTTTTATATGTTAGTATTTTTTTTTCATTATATAGTAAATCTAAGATTAACTGATTTTTTGTGGGGCACCCTGTATTATGAACATTGTTGTTTTATTCATTTTGTTTTGATGAATAATGAATTTTTACAAGAACCTTTTCAAATTTTAATTCGAATAATTTATAAACTTTTAAATCTTTTAAAGTCTGTACTTATGTGTAGCAGTTATTAAATAAAAACTGTATTTACTAATCATAAATGGAAAAGCTTACTACAATCAGCGACCCGCACTACTTTAAAAAGAAGTTTGTAGAAACGTGCTGATTTTTGTAAATACGTGCGTTCATAAACGACATTATCAGAAAATAAGAGCGGTAACTATAGTAAATATAAAATTTATTGATGATTTTATAACCTTTCCTCAACAAGCGTCTTTGTAAGTAAGACTATAAAGCCAAAGAACGTAAAATTCAATAAAATATTGGAGTGCTTAAAATATATTAAATTTTAAAGATCACTGGGTAGTTGAAAAAATTATCTAAAAATGGTATTTACGTTGTATTCGTCATGTAATTTTATATCAATTATCTTCTCCTTAGATAAAGTACTCAAACATCAGGTTGTCGAAAAATGTGACAACACCTGATAAAAACACCCATCACCGTGTTAAAATGTTCTTCGATATTTTAAACTAAAAGTAAGTAATATTTGTTTCACTTCAAAATAATTAAACTTTAAATCAGCTAATTTTAATGTAACGTTTAAGAAAAGTATATTTTATTTTTGAATGATTTCTTAATAAAGAAAATTATGTTGACAGATTTGTCAATATGGACGATTTTGTAGATTTTAGTGATCATCAGAAAAAATCGAATCATTTTATAATAGGTTTGAAATACAGCAAAGTATTTTGTTTAGTGGAAATATTAAATTTAATCTGTTACCTTGGAATTTAAAATAAATGCTTCAAGAAAGATTTTTCATTTTTAAAATGCATTTTAAACCTTAAGTATCGATTTTTTTAGAGATATATATATATATATATATATATATATATATATATATATATATAAATAGATAGATAGATAGATATTTACTCTGTCAAATTTTATTATGTAACTCGATGTTTTCTCAATAAAATTGGTATTAACAATAAGTTTTCCAGGAATTATTTACGTGATAAATACATCATGAAATATCGATCCTTATTGAAAATATTGATAGTCGCTTCTCTGGGTTTTATCTTTTATCATATAAATAAAGGGTAATACAATTTTTTATTCGCAAATAAATCCAAATAAAGCTATAGATACATATTTATTAACAAAATATCCCATATACCTACATAAATTATTTATTTTACATATTAATAAAATATCGTTAACATTCTATAACTTACGCCGTTTTTTTTTTTCAGCGATTTTTTAAAATATTTATAACACCAGTTCTTTCAAATATTTTCATGCTGTTCAATTTCTTTGTATAGCTTACTAAAAAGGCTACACGGTGTTTGTATATTATATCAAAATAATATATTAATATAATATCAAAAGTTGGCATAAATTTAAAATAAGATTAAAAATACAGTTTAATTTAAAACTAGAATTTAATTCAAGATAATAGCCAATTTCCCCGATTTAAGAAATCCATTAAAATAACACCTTTCTTCAGGAAATATATGAGTCTGTTAAGGCTACTAATGATCTATAACGAAAAGTTTCTACAGGCAATTATGTATTATGTTGTGGCTTCGTTAGAGGCAAAAATCACTGATCAGTCGTTATATTATATCTTATTGACTTTAAGTAAGCGTTATGTCCATGTCGTCTGCTTTCAGTCAATTTTTAGGCTCTCTTTTCTACACTTAATTGGAAACTATAAATCTTCTTTCGCCAATTTCCAAGTTTCTCTTGTTTTAAAATCTTTTATTAATTTATATTTATCCATTTAGAGTATTTTCTTTATCTCCTTTTTAAATAACGAATCAATTAAAATAGTGAAGAAAATGCCTATAAATTGTAACACAACGTAACATTAAAATATAAATAATTACTGCTACAACGGCAATACAAAACATGCAAAATTTCTCATAATTTTGTATTGTAATTTAAGACAAAAATTTTTTATTAAAAAACCTTATATTCAAGTGAACGCATTTAATAAAATGTAGCGAATATTTTCTTTCAATTCAATAGTTTTTCATGTTTTAAAAATTTTTTCGCTTAATATTGCTCTAATGGATAAAAGAATGAAAATTTATTTTTGTCTGGAAAGAGAGCCTATTGTCTTTCAGCGAAAAATGTCTGTAATTTTAAAACAAATAAGCCCTTTATTAAACAAAATGATTGCCTTGTATGCTTACAATCTTTTCATTGTTAATTTAATTTTTTGCCACTGTTTATTTAAAGATAATTGAATGACTTAATGTTTATGTACGTAAAAAATAGAAACTTTTTGTTAAAAGTTTACCATTTTTATATTTGTGGTTTTTATATAAAAATAAATAATTTATTAATAATAATTTTAAAAAGTCGGCCATTGTTAAAGAAAGAGTATAGAATAATCTACAATTAATTCATTATTTAATCATTTACAACTTTATATTTATTTTAAACAATTGAATGAGGTTCGGTTTAAAATTAAAACACTAAGATATCGGTGTATTTTTTGCTACTCTTTCCAGTGTTAACAATGACATGCGTTTTAATTTAAAATATACCACACTAATAAATCTTATTATTGATTGATTTGTTTTTTACGGCTTATCAACCTTTATGAAGTTATTTAAAGCCAAAACATTTTTGGATTGTAAGGATTTTTTTTTGAGATAATAAAGATTTTCTGATACAAGTCCTACTATTTAACTCATAGCTGGGAGGAGAAAAGTTGGATTTATAATTTTCCGAAGAGTATTCGCACCTAAGTAAATATAACGAACTTGACTGTAATTTGAACTCGGCTCTCCAATTTCTCATTTCGAGCGTATTCATTACACGACCCGCACATCGACGTTTACAGGATTACCTGGTATTCCCGAGCGGTCACCCATCTAGATTCTAACCAGGTTCAACGTTGCTTAACTTCAGTGATCGAATGAATACCTATGTTTCAACGTGGTATGGCCGTAAACCATTAATCTTTTTTTTTAATTTTTGTAAATATCTTCTTTGGAACATGAGAATAAATATATTGTTTTAAAAGTCTAAATGTTTTGGAGTTTAATCGAGACACCCATGTACATATAGATACAGTCGAAGGTTCTTCATCATCTTTATCAACCTTTGACCTCCCTATGGGTGTGGTCGGAACTCCATTGACAATTCCTTTCCACACTGTTCGGTTCTGCTTTGCTGTCCTCAGGTCCCCAATATCCAACCTTGAGTCCCGAGCTATGGTGTCTGGGAAAGTCAATTTTCATGAGAAGACACTTTCAGAAGGATGCCATAGGAAGTAAGGAGGAGAAGATTTCCCTATCCGCTCGCTGGCAGTGACTAGCAAACTGAAGGTTCTTAGTTCTACGGGGTGCGGCAGAAATACCTCCCACATAATGGCAAGACATATATTGTCAATGGTGGCTTCATCTAGTTCATGTCTTACCATTATGTGGGGAACTTTTCTGTCGCACCTTAAGTTATCTTCAGATTTCTTTGTGACATTCCCAAAGACATTTTTTTGGTTCTTATTACATTTTTGCATTCTCCTCACGCACTGACTTTCCAATATTTTGATTCTATTTTGTGATTATATCTTTCTAACGGGCCATGGCTATCTTTATATGAGTGAAATTTTAAGCAATAAATATCTATAATTTTACTTTCATATATATATATATATATATATATATATATATATATATATATATATATATATAAATATATATATATATATATATATGTATATATATATATATATATATATATATATATAAATATATAAATTCCCAAGAGGATAGAATACAGGTAGAACTCAATCTCAATGTCCAGGACAGAGTAATAATATGATATAAGAGGATCAAACACTAATATTCCATGGTTATAATTTATTACTTTTGAATCGTAATCACGATCCAATTCATTAGAACTACAAATTATTTGTATGTCTGATGAATTGGATCGTGATTACGATTCTAATGTAATAAATTATAATATATATGGAATATCATACTGTTACAATGAGCAATCAATTTACAAATACATATATATTATATAAAAATATATATATTTATATCCATCTTGCAAACGATTCAAATAGTACACAAAAAACCTCTAAATCCGTTATGCATGAGTTGATCCTTGTTTATATAAATTTCTGCCGTATTAGTTGTTATTTTTTACTACAAGCTTTCTTTCATTTTTAATAGCATTTCGGATACAATACACATATATTTTCGATGTCCTCTTATTACTAAGAGAAAAAACCAAGAACAACATCTATTATATCCCTGACGATGTCTGTAGGAACAGACGAAAGCTTGTAGTAAAAATAACAACTAATACGGCAGAAATTTATATAAACAAGGATCAACTCATGCATAACGGATTTAGAGGTTTTTTGTGTACTATTTCTGTTTGCAAGATGGATGTCTTGCCATTTAAATCATTAACCTTGCATTAGTTTTGTATGAATAATTCATGTATTTGTAAATTGATTTATTGTTTATTGTAACAGTATGAATATATATATATATATATATATATATATATATATATATATATTCATACTGTTATATATTATTATTTTATATATTATTATATATATTTATACTGATATATATTTTATTATTTAAGCGTTATATTTAATTTGGGTAGGCGTTTCATTTATTTATTAAACAGCATATTTATTTTCATCTACTGGACTGGATATCCGAGAAATGTTAGTAAAGAAAAATATGCGCTCTCCGGGAAATCTGACGGGTTAATAAATAAAAAATTCATCACTTCTTTAGAATTTTTTTTTCACCCAATGAAACATCTATATATATGCGCACATAGACACACACACGCATATATTGTTATATGTTCTTGTTATATGTTTTATGTTGTTATATATTTTTGTTGTTTATATATATATATATATATATATATATATATATATATATATATATGTGTGTGTGCGTGTGTGTGTGTGTTACAGTGATGTTCCCCTGTACAAGGCCCAGGAAAAAGGAAAGGTAAACTATGGAGTATGTTAAGTGATGTAATTTATTACTTAATAAACCAAAGTTTGCCAATGTTTTTTTGCTGAATTTATAAAATAATGTAAATTATTATTTTTTTAGTTGTGTATTTCGATAGTAATCCCTCTCTAATACATGTTTCACTGAATACGGCCGACATAGTACATCTCTTAAGTTTTTATCGTGTTTCTTTTGTGTGAACAAAAAAAAAAATTTGTACATTGTGCATATCGAAACTGTCTAAATATATGTCCGTTCTGAGGGCATTCAGCTAAACTGTTAGCCATTTTCAAACACTCTGGTTGTGCCTTGGCAAATAATGTGTAGGCTGCTAATACGGAGATATGTTTTTAATTCTCCAAATTATATATATTTCTACACTTACGTGGACGTATAAGTGTGTTTGATGTGGCAGTTGAGAAAAGCGCTTACGCCCAAATATTGACATATCTATCTATCTATCTATCTATCTATCTATCTATCTATCTATCTATCTATCTATCTATCTATCTCAGTCTTCCTGTCTATCTATCTATCTATCTATTTCAGTCTATCTATCTATCTATCTATCTATCTATCTATCTATCTATCTATCTATTTCAGTCTGCCTGTCTGCTCATCTATCTATCTATCTATCTATCTATCTATCTATCTATCTATCTATCTATCTATTTCAGTCTGTCCGTCTGTCTGTCTATCTATCTATTTCAATCTATCTATCTATCTATCTATCTATCTATCTATCTATCTATCTATCTATCTATCTATGTTCGAGCAAGTGAGTGTATGTGCGAGAGGGACAGAGAGAGTATGTGTGAGAGAGAGATTACACATATACATCAATGTTTAATCTATATATGCTTATGTGAGAATATATGAGTGGGCGTGACAAATGTGTCCTGTTAGCTTCGAATCGTGTTGGCATATCAAATTCAGATGAAAACAAAGGAAAATGTTAACCGCCTGCGATACAAACAAATGGACGGGGTTATGGTGAAAGGTGAAGTGTGAATTTTTGGGCGCACGTGCGGGTTTGTAATTTTTTTATTTTTTTATTTTTTTTTTGCATAAGTGTCAAAGTAGCAAATCGTTGGTAAATCGGTCGGAGGTTCTGTCCTGATTTCCGGTTTAGTGAGACACGTTAGTATTTATATATATATATATATATATATATATATATATATATATATATATATATATAGATAACTAGACTCGTTTTCGAAAAAACCCTCGAATTTTTTATTTGCTAATCAAATCAATCTCGAGGGAAAAAAAAGGTTTTAAAAAAGAAAAGAGCTACAAACATGAACTTCTGCCGACAAAAAAAATCGCACAGATGCAGGTCTGAAGCCCAAAAAAAAAAAACCGATACGAGTAACAACTAACTAACAAAAAAGCTCAATACAACCGTAGAGCAGACCTAGATACACCTAGTGAGCCAGACAAACCTACCTAGGTTTCACCTAAACGGATCGTCAGGGAAAGTTTGGATCAGGGAAAAGATCGTCAGGGAAAGCCAAACTTTCCGTGACGATCCGTTTAGGTGAAACCTATGTAGGTTTGTCTGGCTCACTAGGTGTATCTATCTATCTATCTATCTATCTATCTATCTATCTATCTATATATATATATATATATAAAACTTAAAAAAAACTCCATCCTCTCGACACTCATATTGAATATGTGATGATTTAAGAATCGGCTTTGATATATATTATGCCACTTCACCATCTTTCTTTGACTCAGTAATTCAAATACGAGCTGTGCCATCAACAGAATCTCTTGTTTAAAGACGTCGAATATAACAGAATTTTATATTCAGTAGAGAATATTTCGATGTGGGCTATTTCTATGATAACATTTATTTATTATACCTATACAGTCCGATGTCCATCGTATATATTTTAAAAGAGTCCACTGTTCATAAATAATAAACTCTTCATCTTTTCAGACGAATTTTGAATCATGCTTAATTAATCGCATATGATTTAAGACAGTTCAAACAATTTTTTAATAATTTCATCAAAAACAAGGCAATAAAGCCACTTAGACGCAAGGGGTTACTGGGTGTTAGTGAAGACGAGAAAAATACTATTAAGGAAAGAAGACAATAAAAGATCAAGAATTAAGAAAACAAACGATAACGATTGACATTGCATTTAAATTTTTGAAGATCAAACTTGACTGAAAAGCAAGAATCCGGAAGAGAGTTCCACAAGCGAAAAGTGCGATAATAAAAAATTGTTAATATAGAACGTGCGTTTACATCTAGCCATTTCAACTGTAAAATGATGAGACCTATCCGCCAATCTAGTAGTACGTTTAAAGTCTAGGTGCCATAGGAGAAAGTTCCTCAGAACTATTATCATGAAAGTATTTATAGAAAAGACATAGGAAAGCTGCATTACTGCGGTGGAAAAGTGACTAAAACTGAGATGCCAGGTCAGAACCAATAACACTGCAAATTCTCCTTTGGATTTTATCAAGAATCTCTAAACATATAGCATGAGCACCAAACCAAATGTGGCAGCAATATTCAAAGCAAGGACAAATGGTAGACTTATAAATATGTAAGATAGATTCTGGCAAATAAAAAAGTCATCTAGCAATCACAGTGAACTAACTTTCTTAGCTGCAGACTTAGCAACTGATTCAATATACTTTCACACTTCATGTCAGCTGAAAACATTGGTCCAAGAAGGCACAATGAGTCAATCTCCTAGAGGTTCGCTTCAACCAAACTGATGGAAGTTAAAAAAAGATTCTCAAGATGATCAAAAGGGAGCAGTTTCATTTTGGAGGCGTTAAATTCACAAGCCTCTCTTTGCCTCATTTAACAACAGATTATAAGTCATTTTTGAGATCAGCTGCCAATTTGACCTTATCGAACCGATCAGACTTGATATTAAAACAGGATAATTAGTTGTGTCATCAACATGGGATAGAGAGTTG